AAAAAAGAATTTAACCTGTCGGTCCTTCTGAACGCCGAGAAGACGAGCTTGTCGGTGCTTGTGACAAAGTGCTTGTACGGCCCATCAGACGACCTCTTTCCCGGTACTCCCAGACACACGGATCACGCTTCGTTGAATTTCTCTTTTTTCGGTCGACCTCGCGTGTTTTCCTTCACTTCAGGTTCTCCGTAACCTTGTTTGGTCAGGGTGAAGTTGAGAGTAGATGTACTGATTCAGATGACGCACGGTCGCAGGATTGTCCATTTCGACCTCATCCGCAAGGCTTCAAAAATACGACAGGTCTGTCCACCCAACCGTCGATGGTCGTGCACCACTCGTGAGTGGCCGTGCACTACTCTGGTAATCTGTTCGTACAACCAAATTTAAAAGATTAAACATCATAATCTATATATAAATTATATTAAAAGAAACATTATGTGAAGAATAAAAAAATAAAATAAAAGCATTTAATTCAATATCGCAATTATATCTGGCACCTCAAGTGTTATCCAGAACTGGTGAATTGTCATCCGTGGTAATCATGACATCAACATTGCACGTCATACTCATGTAACAGGCACGAGGAAGTCCATGCGTCCATCTGAGTACGCACCCGCAGCGCGTCGTAACCTAATCGTTTAAGTCTCGCATCCTCTTATACTCTTCGTTCTATAACTCCAAACAATAATGCGAGACCATAGTGTTAGCTGCGAGAACGGAAATCCGGTGTAATGGTAACTTCGTCTGGTCCTCGACTCCTCCAGCGTGGTCCTGATAATAGGTTGCATGAGTGAATTTATAATTAATACATTAATAGCACAGTAAATATTGTAGCTTAATAAGTTAACGTATCTGATTTGAGTGTGTTGGGACTTTATCTCCTTGTGAGGCTTCTCTCACACTGTGTCGAGCGAACCGGTCGACGTGTTAAGCACTGCTTCAACACAACGTGGGCACTCTCCACCCTACACGACGTGGTGTTACCCAAATGCAGAAAGTGAAATGTCCACGCTTTGACAAATTTTTCCTTATGAACTAATCACGTCTGCTCTATATACTGTGTAACAAGAGGGAACGTCTTGTACCGATGGTGCATATCTTTCACGGCAGAGTCGTACTCGACCACCGTGCTCGCTTCCAGGATCTTCTTCCACATGCCGCGCGTGAACTTCTCGGCGAATTGACTATTATTCTGGCTGAGTTTATTGACCTTGTGTTCCACATCCTTGTTGATGTGCCACGTGCAAAGAAGGTGGGCAGACATTGGAAAATTAATCATAATAGGATTAATCAACCCCAACTCCCTGTCAGTGACAATGACTGAAGGATGTACATCATGCCCAATTAGATTCTCAATCGCTTTAGAACCCAGTCATAGCTGTTCTGGCTCTCGTCCTTCAGAATTGCATATGCAATAAAGGAGTTCTTGTTCCACGGTGTCATCCCTATTATTTCCACCAATGACATCATGTACCTATGCAAATGAGGGTAACAAAATCAAATAAAGAATAAAAAAACGTACCTACTCAGACATAATAATTAAGATTCGTACTAAATTGTTATTTATAAAGTAACATACCTGTTGGTTTTGTACGTCGAATCTATACCGACGTACCGATAATAGGTCTGAAAGAGAAAAACTGTCTGGGGATGCGACATGAACACACTTGTCAAGGTGTGTGTGTCCTTATCAGAATCGGTGAAAAATATGTAATTAGCCCGGCTAGTCAGATGCATAAGCTGGGAAGTCACATCTCTGCCCTCCAAACTCTCTGATCGAAGTTTACCCTATAGTTGTAAACCTGTTGACGAGTCGCGTCGTCAGATGGGTTTTGATCCTGTATCGCTGCCAATATTACCGCCGGTCTTTCCTGGGCACCTGTAATGTCACGGACGATCTGCCTCGACGAATCACTCAGTCCGCTGAACTGTCGATGACCCTTGAGATACAAAGTCATCGGATGATTATGATATCCCTTCTGATCATCCTGAGAAAAACATACACTCCAGAAATCTTTCGTACCGGTCTCTTTTTTCAATCTCATCTCAAACAGACATTCGGTCATTTGACCGGATGTCTGTTTGAGATGAGATTAAATGACCGGATGTCTGTTTGAGATGTGATTGAAAAGAGAGGCCGGTACGAAAGATTTCTGGAGAGTATGTTTTCCTCAGGATGATCAGAAGGGATACCATAATCATCCGATGACTTTGTATCCCGAGGGTCATCGACAGTTCAGCGGACTGAGTGATTCGTCGAGGCAGATCGTCCGTGACATTACAGGTGCCCAGGCAAGACCGGCGGTAATATTGGCAGCGATACAGGATCAAAACCCGTCTGACGACGCGACTCGTCAACAGGTTTACAACAATAGGTCTAAACTTCGATCAGAGAGTTTGGAGGGCAGAGATGTGACTTCCCAGCTTATGCATCTGGCTAGTCGGGCTAATTACATAGTTTTCACCGATTCTGATAAGGAGACACACACCTTGACACGTGTGTTCATGTCGCATCCCCAGACAGCCCTTCTCTTTCAGACCTATTATCGGTACGTCGGTATAGATTCGACGTACAAAACCAACAAGTATGTTACTTTATAAAAAACAATTTAGTACGAATCTTAATTATTATGTCCGAGTATGTACGTTTTTTTATTCTTTGTTTGATTTTGTTGCCCTCATTTGCACAGGTACACGATGTCATTGGTGGAAATAATAGGGATGACGTCGTGCAACAAGAACTTCTTAATTGCATATGCAATTCTGAAGGACAATAGTCAGAACAGTTATGACTGGGTTCTGAAATGGTTGAGAGATCTGATTGGGCCTAATGTACATTCTTCAATCATTGTCACTGACAGGGAGTTGGAGTTGATTAATCCTATTATGATTAATTTTTCAACGTCTATCCACTTTTTTTGCACGTGGCACATCAACAAGGATGTAGAACACAAGGTCTATAAACTCGGCCAGAATAATAGTCAATTCGCCGAGAAGTTCACGCGCGGCAAGTGGAGGAAGATCCTGGAAGCGAGCACGGTGGTCGAGTACGACTCTGCCGTGAAGGACATGCACCATCGGTACAAGGCGTTCTCTTTTGTTACACATTATATAGAGCAGACGTGGTTAGTTCACAAGAAAAATTTGTCAAAGCGTGGACGAATCACTTCCTGCATTTGGGTAACACCACATCGTGTAGGGTGAAGAGTACCCACGCTGTGTTGAAGCAATGGCTTAACACGTCGATCGGTTCGCTCGACACAGTATGGGAGAAGCCTCACAAGGAGATTGAGTCCCAACACACTCAAATCAGGTACGTTAACTTATTAAGCTACACATATTTACTGTGCTATTAATGTATTAATTATAAATTCATTCATGCAATCTATTATTAGGAGTCGTCCTGGAGGAGTCGAGCACCAGACGAAGTTACCATTACACCGCATTTCCGTTCTCGCAGCTAACACTGAGGATCTCGCATTATTGTTTAGAGTTATTGAACGAAGAATATAAGAGGATACGAGACTTGAGCGATGAGGTTATGACGCGCTGCCGGTGCGTACTTAAATGGACGCATGGATTTCCTTGTGCCTGTTACATGAGTATGACGTGCAATGTTGATGTCATGATTACCACGAGTGACATTCACCAGTTCTGGATAACACTTGAGGTGTCAGGTATAATTGCGATATTAAATTGAATGCTTTTATTTTTTTTCTTTTATTTTTTTTATACTTCACGTGCTGCTTTTTTTATATAATTTATATATAGATTATGATGTTTAATCTTTTAAATTTGGTTGTACGAACAAATTACCAGAGTAGTGCACGGCCACCCACAAGTGGTGCACGACCATCCACGAGTGGTGCACGGCCATCGACGGTTGGGTGGACAGACCTGTCGTATTTTCAGAGCCTTGCGGATGAGGTCGAAATGGCCAATCCTGCACTGTGCGTCAGCTGAATCAGTACATCTACTCTCAACTTCACTCTGACCAACAAAGTTACGGAGAACCTGAAGTGAATGAAAACACACGAGGTCGACCGAAAAAGAGAAATTCAAGGAAGCGTGATTCGTGTGTCTGGGAGTACCAAGAAAGAGGTCGTCCGGTGGGCCGTAAAAGCACTTCGTCATATGATTTCTGCATGAGCAGTCGAGTCACGCATCTCTTCTACCCTGTAAATTTTCATATATAACATAATATTTTACAAGCAAAGGAGAAAAAATAGACAAACAAAAGCAATAATAGTAATTAAATTAAAAGAGGAG